GTTGATGCCTGTATAAGAGATTTTTTCATATAGACTACCACTGTTCCTCATGCATTAGTCTAGTGTGTTTGCACATTTACATGTGAATCACAGTGGGCTCATAACGGCTATGGGAAGGATCCCTCCTGTATCTCCGTGTGGTGCGTTGAGTGGGACGTAATGAACAGTGAGATGTTGTAGAGCGCAAACAGAGTGGTGGTTAAAATAACGGCATGCCTCAGTATTGTGTTGGCTGTAATGTGTTTGTGTTGGGCGAGAGGTCAGGGCAGGTGTGTAGGGGGAGAAATCGGGGTCAAAGGGGCGAGTTTCTCCTCTCTTCATTGTGGGCGTCGTGTCTTGGGGCATTTGGGAGCGGCAGATCCATTTTATTGATTGACTTCTATGGCCCCGGCCCACAGATGAGGGGTGAACTTATCTAATGAATTCCTGTTTGCCGTCTCCCCACTCCCCCAACTTAATTAACTCTGCCTGTGCGTGTTTGTGCACATCAGTGTGTGTGTGTTACCTGTCCACTCTTTGTTCATTTCTTTCTCCTGCTTGTCCTTTTGCCATTCTCTGCTCATTTGTCAGCTAAATTTCTTTCCCATCTATAAGTAGACTATCATTACTGGATTTATGTTGCATTTCCTAGTAAAGTTACCAACCAAACTCCAATTTACTACCCACTAACCGTAAGTTAAGCCACTGGTTATTTTTACAATTTCATCAGACACAGTTCAAAACCCACAATTCCCACTTGAGCACTAAGGCTCAATGTGTCCTGATCATGTGTGTTAACCACTAAGCCATAATTATTCCAACAACATGTGTAACCGGACCCGCTCCAAACGGGATTCGAACTGGAGTCTCTGACGTGGGAAGCAGGCGCGCTAACATAGAGGCTAAAGGCCACAGGCGTAGCGTCAGTCGCTAGTGCGCCTCTTGAAGCCAGGGGAGTGAGGTTTACACGCACAACTCTTACTGGCCTATACACTCACGCCCCCTAAACCTCACTCCCACCCGGGTCACGGCACCAAATGTAACCGGCCCTACTCGACCCGCTCCGAGTTGGATTTGAACTGGGGTCTCTGACGTGGGAGGCGGGCGCGCTAACAAGGACGCTAGAGGCGCTAGTGGGCCTCTTGAGGCCAGGGGAGTGAGGTTTACACGCACAACTCTTACTGGCCTACATCCTTTTCACATGCATGTTATTTACTGTATTTTACATATATATATTCACATTTACACTCTCAAACTCTGGCACACACACAGATTATGTTTGGCTGATCATATTTTTCTAAAGCTCCAGGTTGTGAGGGTCAATTGTATGATGGGAGCATCCATTAACACACTTTCCCTCTCACATACTTCACACACACACCTCTGTGCGTTTAATCCGCTGGTTTTAGTGGAATGTTCCCCTGTGGCAATTGAGCTACACACACAGTCAGATATTCATGAACACACATTCAACATTTCTTTAAGCAACAAGTGTTGCAGCTCCACAGAATCTATGAATGAGAAACATTTTCTTAAAAGACACATTGACCAAATTATGATCTTGAAATGATGGAATTATGTTGTTTTAGTAGTGAACATCTTCATCACTTTCTCTCCCCTCCAGATTTCTGCTTCCTCTCTCATTTCTACATCTTCCACATCCTCTAATTTCACAATTACTTCTTTCGGCATCCCCAACAGTTAGAATAAGATGTGTTCTCTTTCTTTCTGTTTATTATTATTTTTATTATTATTGAAAAGACTGTCACATTGCCCGGTCCAGTCTGATTGGCTGGCTGCTATGCCAGGTTAGTGGTTTTAAATGGTAAAGCTAGTTATTCATCTTAAGTCACATTGTGGAAAGTTAAATAGATATTTTATACACTCAGTCCTGGACCAACAAGGTTTTGTAATTATTTCAAGACTCTGTTCCACTTCAGTTTGTTTTTGTGCCATCGACTTGTGACGGTAACCAAAAATAGGTTAGATAAACCCGTCTCTACATAGCGTGTAAAACATAATAAATTGTGGTTGGTTGCCTTACATGTTGGTCAGACCATTACCATTTCCCTTAAAAAAAAAAAAAACTCTAAAGTGGATCAGACCATATGACATGACGCTAATTTATTCCCCCAAATGTAATAATTAAATATTAAAAGTGCACTTTACTCAGGCAATGACTTAAATACACCTATTCTATGATTAATGTGTGTCATTTGCAAACATACACTGTAAAAAAAATATTGTTGGTTTAATTTAAAAAATGAAGTAACCTGGCTGCCTTAAAAATTTAAGTTAATTGAAATGGAAATATTAAAATATATTTTAATATTTTAAAATATTATGTTATCTGAACTACATAAATTATTTAAGTTGATTTGACAAAAGAAATAATGTTGTGATTACAAATCATGAAAATATTTTTTTACAGTTTAAATTAATTGTTTTTTGGGGCAGCATAAATGTCAGGCGATACAACTGATAACATAACGAAGTAAAACAAAATCATTGAAGGGATGAAATTCTTGAAAAGAAATCCTTGAGTAATTGGAAATTTATTATTATTTCTTAAAATATATTAAGAAAACTGCTTATTATTATTTGAAAGAATGATCTTGAGAGGACCCCTGGAGACCCCCAAGCTGGGAAGTCCCTTTGACCTTTTTATAACATGACAAGGTTCGTTTGGGAACTTCATATTCAACCTCACACATATTCAAGGTGTAAGGAAGTGTAATTTCTGTTGACTTGATGGTTACACGTGACATTTTTAGAGTTATTATATTAAAAAAAAACATTGTTGAAAATGATAAATAGCAGCATGAATACATTTCTAAAAACTCCACACATTTGTTTTTTCAACTGGATTTTTAACAGTTTTCCTTTTCTTTATCTTGAGGACTTTCGAAGGTTGGCAAGACCACTAAGGTCACTGAAGCTTATGTGAGGTTGGCAAGACCACCAAGTTACATTTTGGAAAATTATAAACTACAGAATCTGCTTAAACAGCACAATTATTTTCCAAAAATAAAATTTTAATTAAGTTTGAATGATGGAGACTCAGTGGTTCAGGAGTGACCTTTTTGTGAACTCCAGGTTGTGGACACCAGAAGAGATGATAAGATCTTTATGGGGGTCACTGCTTCATGACACACACACACACAGGGAGAGAGAGTTTTTTTCTCTCTCCCTCTCTCTCTCTCTCTCTCTCTCTCTCTCTGGAAATGAGCCAAATCCTCCTCTAAAACTCAAAGTTGATGAAGTTGATGCTTGTCAATGGGAGGCCCTCAGATGAAGTTAGTGTGTGTGTTGAGGGAGGGGGTTTATAACACTCATTATCTTTCATCCCCTCACACTGTCTCCATTTCTCTGTCTATTCTTCCAGACCCCAGAGAATACTGTGTAAACACAATACAGGCTTCAGAGCCTTGCTGTGTGTGTGTGTGTGTGTGTGTGTGTGTGTGTGTGTGTGTGTGTGTGTGTGTGTGTGTGTTTTCTGCAAGCATGCTGTCCTAAAGTAAGGTGTAATTAAGTGGTGTGAAGTATGGCAGGTTGTGGGCGGGTCTTGCGGTGCCGTGACTGAAGCGGTTCGCCGGCTGGGCTGTCACTCATGCTGCTTTGAGGCTTCCACTGATCTGAGCTTCAGTGACAGCTGTTTTGAAAAGCTCTTCTCCTTTAGGCTGTCAGTTGAGTCTAAACAAGCCTTTTGGCTCTCTCTTTTGGTAAATCTTTTTTTTTTCTGCTTTTGTCTCGCCACTTTTTTTTTTTCTTACAGTTTGGACATCCTTACATCTAAGCAGTTGTCCTTGTCTTTTGACAGGTGGAGTGTGTATGTGTGTGTTTTGGCAGCCTTCTCTGTGTTGCCTGATTTTTTGATGGAAAAAAAGTCCATTTTACCTCCCTATTCATAACTTCTGTTTAAAATGATATCTGCTGGGATGAAATGCGTTTCTCTTTTGATGGTTTATTTTTATTCAGGGCTGGAATTTCGTTGTGCCAACTCAATTTGACTTAATTCCAATTTCAATTCGATTTGATTCTGATTCATATTGGTTTATTTCAGTTTTATAAAATGGTTAGTTCCGATCCTTGATTCTGATTGGTCAATCGCTGTGCTTTATTCATGATAACACACGGCTTTCATGCATATTACACATAGGAGCGTTGTTGTTCATGGTCAGGGACTATTTTTTTTAGCGGAAGGAAAGCTTTTAGTGATTTTACTTCATGAAAGTTGCACTAATACATTTTTTTTTTTACTTTAATATTTTTATCGTGTTTTTATAGCTGTATTGTGAATAAGTAACTCGAGCCTAACAACGCCATTACTTGTACCTTATTGCTTATTTAAACTCTCAATGAACTAGGAGGAGCGACAGATAATTTCTTCAGTATTGTGGTGTACATCCGAGCAAAACGTACTAAATAAAACGTAAGACTGGACTTGGTTCAATCAATTGGTTGTTAATTGAATGGAGCAGATCTGAATGCAATCTTGCAATCAATTTTAAGAAAAAATAGGCGAATAAAATGATTAGAGAAAACCTGCATACGGCACCATTGAGAAGTCTGCTGTTTCACCAGAAGGTCAAGTGGAGAGATTTTGATTAAAATGACATAGTCAACATAAAGAAAACCCCATAGATTTTCATTAAATTCATTTTCTAAATGCATTGCTTTTTACGTGAAGAAGGTTTTTTTCAGATACAAAATGGTCATTTGTCTTTTTGAACTATTCATTCAAATAACCTGGTCATAAGATTTAGTCAAGTCAAGGATTTTAAGAAGTTCTGCAGTATTGTTCAAACAAAAGTCCCAGTTAATTGGAAAGTATGGACATTTTTACACATCCGTATTAGTTATGCTTAACATTTTAGTCCTAAGAATTTACACATTTTCAGAAACAAAATGGTCTAGGCCTGAACCTGTTCTTGCAAGTTAGTCGACAACCCCCCCATTTTGTAACGTGTGTATATTAGTGTCTTTGATCATTTCTCAACATTCCTTCTCTTTCCTCTCAGGTGCAGAAGTGACGGAAGCCAACATGTCGGACAGCCGCAGCGAGCGCATGGACCTCCTGGTCAAGCAGGAGGAGGCCGGCGCGGGGGACAGCGTGTTTCTGTCCGGGGAGCGGGACGAGGCCGTGTCCCAGGAGAGAGGGGGATCGGTGGCCAACCTGCGGGCCGCCCTCATGAGCAAGAACAGCTTGCTGTCTCTGGGGGCAGAGATGCTCGGAGAGGATAACCCGCTTCTGTTCGAATACCTGCCCAAGGGAGGACACTCTCTTTCCCGTAAGTCACACTGTGGTTCACTGCTCTCCTTCATGGAGTTTAGTCTTAGGTTCTGATAGAAACCCACTGGGACCGTAGATGTGCTTCTGCTAGAGCCATATATGGGTGCATGAAGACTATAGGTTTCGACTGGTCTTCATAAACCATAGGGTCCTGTAGGGACTTTTAGGTTCTTATCCGCTGGGCTGTGTGTGGTAGTGGAGTTTTTGTAGGTCTTCTCTGTGAACATTGATGTTTCTAGAGGATCTTTTGTTCCTGCTGGGATTGTAAAGGCTTTATGAGCTGTCATTGAGTGCTTCAAGACCCACTGTTGTATTTTATGTGTCCACGAACCTTGGAGTTTCTATAGAATCTTATACAGTTGTGCTCTTGCTATAGAGTGCTTGAAAACTCTCTTATATGAACTCTCTCTGTATGTCTTTGTGTACCTCATACCCCCGTGTCTTAATAAATCCTATTAGTTGACTCTGCCCTAGAGGTTTTTTTTTTTGTTTTGTTTTACTTTGGGGCATCATATTTTTTCTTTTTATCATTTATATTTTTATTGTTATTTTTCACACAGTATGAATTTTACAGTACAACCGGGCATACAATGTTCAAAGACAGTCATAACTGATTTTCCTTGAAAGCCCTTAGTGATAAGACATTTATTTATTTATTTATTTTTTCTTTTCTTTTTTTTTTTTGTATCATACAAAAATCATATTTTTTCATAGTGTGATTATTTAATATAACCTGAGACTATGATATAACGCCAGATTTTGTTTAACGAGACACTGGAGACAGTATTGACGGTTATGCTTAAATATTAACAGAATTGCATGATGAAATATTGACATTTAGATAATTGATAATACACATTCTCAGGAAATTCCATATGTGTGAGTGTGTGTGTGTGTGTGTGTTCAGGCCAACCCTAATATGGGGATAAAATGTCCCCACAAGGATGGCAATATCCAAAATGTGTCCTTGTTGAGATATTTTCTGGTCCCCACGAAGAAACCCGCTTATAAATCATACTAAGTAATGTTTTATGAAATTCTAAAAGTGTGGAAAGTTTTCTGTGATGGGTTTGTCTAAGGAAAGTCAGCATAGAAATGGAAACCCAACGTGTGTATGTGTGTGTGCGTGTTAATATCTTCCTTTTTTATGATGGGACAGTGAAAAATGATGTAATGTTTGCTTCCCTGTAGAGATAGTTTGCATTGCAGTGTAGTCAATGACTCTAGATATAAAAAAAATACTATTTTAAATGGTTGCAGACAGAATTCAGTGTTGAATTTCATATTTGAATGTACTTCAATACAATGTACTAACTGAGAAATAACTAGAATTTCTAGTGTAGTTTGTCATATTGAGATGCATCCATACATATTTATACCCTCAACACGTTCTCTTGGTGAAGTGTGTGTGAGTTGTAGCATTTTTGTGGTAGAATACCTCCTCCAAAAACACCAGAGCTTTTATGAATGGCAGTGAAATTCATAAAAGCTCCGGGTTCGCCAAACCCAATCTTTGCCCACACTCGATCACTTCGTCAAAGCATTGAATGTCTGTGGGTCTGTGAGTGTGTTGTTATTTTTGGCTTATTCCTTTGAGAGTTTGTGTCTCCTTGTTTCCTTTTCTCTCTCTCTCTCGGTCCTGGGTTGGTAATTGTCTCTTTTGTCTGTTTAAGTTCAGTCTTGTGAATAGGAGAGGGAGGACAACTCTGAACCACTCCTGCTCTTAAAACCCTTAGGGCAGGCTCAAGAGTGTGTGTTTGCTGAACTACATTAAGTCTTAATGGCCACTCTTGAGGATGAAACACAGTGGCTGTCACTCACGCCACAGGAGCTTCTGTCTCCCAAAAACTCTGGCTAACAGACAACGTAGAGGAGCTTTAATCTGATCATCTCGCTAATGTACGAATCCTCCTGCCCTCCACCAGCACTGGCAGAATGTTCCTGTGATCTTTACTTCTGGCTTAAAGTCACCATTTTACTGTTTAGTGGGACATAAAACAGGATATTCATCAAGAAAAAATGTTGTGCATGAATTGATTTTAATTACTCTGTAAAAATGAAAAAAAAAATTGTGGCAACAGATTACAAGTAAATTGAACGAATTGAGTAATAATTAATCAAATTAATTCCTTAAAAGTTCAAACTTACAACAACAACCAAAAAAACGTAAATTGAAGTCACCATTATGGTGATCGGTGTTTGAAGGTTTCTCCTTCAGTGATTCTGCTTGTTACCATCAGGTGTCTTCAATGTTGGCAATATAAAATAGAGAGGTCTTAATTAATCTTTGACATCTGTCTGTTAGTGAGATATTTTTGTTAATTTTTTTGGTGTAAACTTTACATGAAAAACTCTTTTAAATGGTTAACTTTTTATGGAATAATTTGATTAATCATTACTCAATTTTAATTTGTTAAATTTAATTAATAATATTGCTTGTAATCTGTTGCCACAAATAAAGCATATTCATTTTTACAGTGTATGTATTGCAGTGTATTATTGGATAGACTCTAAATGATGTGGTTGGATTACAATTATTTTTTTTTTTTGGAATATAAATGTTAATATTTGCTAGAAATCATGACATCTGCTTTAACTCTTCTTGGTACATTCTTGCGGAAAGTAGCAATGCCTGATTCCTGAACAAACTTAATGGAGAACTCTGTCGTTCATGGTTCGACTTGTCAAATCTGTTTTTCAAAGATTAAACGGTCTGTACACTTACAAAGTTCTCAATGCTTAGTTTTGTATTTAGGCACCCTCATTATGTTACTGTGTTAGTGTGGGGCTATTTTGAGCCTTGTTAGTGGTATAAACTAGCGATTTCTTTTTACTTATTATATGCCCCCATATACTAGCATTATACGCTAAACAGTTTTTAGAGATAAAACTCTTTACATTCGATTATCTTAAAAACAAATCTCAGAGAACTGTCGACTAGGTGCCAATGTGTTATTAGACCAAAGGTTCATTTGACCAAGTTCTCCTTTAAGGCAGATCTTAATAGATCCATTAATTCAGTTCACATAATTGGTCTAAACGCTAAATAATTCATTCACAAAACTGATTTCAAACCCAGATTTGGTCACTCATAGCTAACATGCGGCTTTAGATATGCACAAGTTTGCCTGATTGTATGGCGTTGTATGCCCTTTTTGAAGCTTGAAAGTAAATTATGTGTGTTTGAAACATGACAGAGTGTAAATTCTTACAGAATTTTCATTTTTGGATAAAGTGTCTCTGCAAGACCAGTGTATAATTATCTAAATGGATTTATTTATTTGTGATTTTATTAGAGATATGAAAATCCATTATTTTTTTTGTTCATCGAATCTCAATATTTAACCATAAACACGGAAGATCTCGAGGATGTTCCACATGAAGGGACGTGCGTTGAAGTCGGCACAAACACAGACTCTCGTTAATATGTAACCGATCAACCAATGATTGTTCGGGGTTCTGCACCCCCTCTAAAACATCAGCGCTCAACCGCACCGTGCCCGCTCTGACGGATCACTAGTCGCCCTCCTCTCACACACTTCAAAGTAGATTTGTTGAAGTCTCTGGGAAAGGAATTGATTTGATGGGGCCGAGCAGGTCACGGCGGGTCCCCTTGCGTCCTGCAGGCTGCTGTGATTAACACAGATTGCGTGTTATTGCCTGATCCTGGGTCAGGTTTAGTGGTGTGACTTGCTTTAGGTGTGTGCCTGTCTTCTCCATTGATCTATACACACTGACAGCAGGCTGACAACCTGTCCTCTTCAACGCCACTTTCAGAGTCTCAGGGGAGTGTGTGTGTGTGTGTGTGTGTGGTTTCATGCGTGCCGTACGAATATACAAATTTACACTTACTAGGAAACACTGAGTTGTTCCAAAGAACAAACTACACACTCAATGTGCAATCCAAAGCACAAACAATACAGTGTGAATAAATGATGTACAGAAACACACACTACAACACGGTAAAATATACAATGCTCTAGTCTAGTCGAATGCAATACTATACAGAACATGGGATAGTATGCATATAGGTTAATGGGTTTATGATTATGAATATATTCATACCATATTAATACTCTATTCTGTCCTACTGAATTTATCGTTACTCTCATATTAGTAGGGGTGTAACAAGCACACCTACATTACAAGTTCAATTTGGACACACTTTTAAGAATCTTTTTTGTTCAAAAGGTTTATATTTGAATGATTATATACAGTATATTTATATTATCATTCAAATATTACTTTAGATAATAAATGGATAAATGGGAGGTATGTAATGATTTCATACATTGATCACTTCTATTAATGTGAAATGTGGAAAATTACTATAAAAATTGCTGGGTTGTTTTAACCCAACTTTGGGTCAAATATGGACAAACCCAGCCATTGGGTTACATTTTTTAAATACATTTTTTAACCCAAAGTTTGGGTTTGTCCATATTTGGCCCAAAGTTGGGTTAAAACAACCCAACATTTTTAGAGTGTATGATTATAAGTTTGTGTGTTCAAACTTTTGACTGGTAGTATATGCACTATTACATTTAAAATACCTTTTTATTTTTCTCTCAACTTTAATCTGGTGATGTACGTTATATTCATATTTTCTCAAGATGTTTAGAAATAGTGATTGGCAATGGAAAAAAAAAAACTGATATTGGATCAACTCAACCCAAGCTTAGATCAGCACTCTTGATTGTAAAACATTTCTGAAGTATTGACATAGACCAACTGAGCAATTTCAGTGTAAATTGCTATACATGCTGGTGAACAGTTGGATATGTTTTATGCATTTGGAACCAAGTATATTCAATTGCTAAGGTGGAATTCAAATGAAGGTGCTCGTAATTGTGCACCAGTTGGCAAGCTTTCAGCAGAAGTGAGCTGAATGTTTGGTTATTTTTGGCCTGAAATTTCATTAAATTAGAGCTGAGCATGTGCCTTCCTGGTTGGGTGTAAATGCTTCGCTAATGAAGGTAAAACTGTCCTGCAGTTCGA